AGCTGCCGAGAAATCGGTGCTTCAACAAGAAAGTGCCAAAAGTAAAACGAAAGAGTTAAGTAAAGTTTTGCGTTATGACCCTGAATGTTATATACATGGCATATATATTCGATATTCTGGAATAATAACAGATTCTTTTCCTTTTACTTCGCGCGACGCTTTTAAAGCATGTTCCCTAGGGTCATCGTCTTTCTAACATACATACATACATCCGGACTTTATTTGGGTTTGGGCTTTATTTTTTAACTTAGCACATGTGAAATCGAGACGCTCACACTATTCATGCGACCTGGCAAATATCAATTTACGGCTCATGAATTTCGTTCGAAATAATCGACTGCATGCGCATTCGAGTCCCACTCCGGTTCCACTCCGGGTCCGGTTGGGGGGCACTTCAAACAATTGCGCCGCAATTTATGCTATACAATTTGTGGTACGACCAGGAACACGCATGAAGTTTTCGATTTGCCAAGCTATTTTTATGGCGCCGGCAACATTTGCTGATACGATTTTGGCCAATTACCGTATTGCCAATTGGCGATTCAACTCAACTGAACTGAACTGAAATTGTTTGCGTGCGCTTCATTGAGGCACATCCATCAGATACAACCGCAAAGAGATGGCAATGTTCAAATGCATTATGTCTGCGAATGTATGTGAGTGTGTGTGTGTGCTTGTGCGTGTGATTGCATTTGCGTGTGTTTTTATGGCCACTCAACAAGCTGTTAGCTGTTTGGCTAAGCTCAGCTCAGATCAACGCAGCTCTCAGCTTATCTATGAAAAACATATATTTAAGTGGGTATCGATTTTGATGTTGGCAACGGCCGCAGCTAAAGCTAATGCCAAATGCGGCTCCCCGTCGCAGCCGCATTGGTCAACCCCATCAACAAGTCTCGCTGGTGCTCGCTGGAATCGGTATTGTTCTCACCCTTTGTTTATCCACGCCCTGGCTAAGCGCTTGAATCAAAAATCTTTCGGGTTGGGTCTGGTGCGCATTCACTTGGAATGCGAGTGAGACATTGAGACTTTGTCATCGTCATCGTTTTATGCAAATATTTCTCGCACATGCCGTTTCTCGTTTCTCCTTATTCCGCATTTCCATTTTAATAAAACAGTAAAAGAAGCATATATTTCACACTGAAACTTGAATACACTCACTCGAATGCCTCCAAAAATTAAACAAATTAACAAAATCCATTGCCCAAGCATTATCATATCTAGAAGTACACTCATTTTCTAATATTTGTTTGATTGACTTTTGCCTACTTAAATGATTATCTCTCATTGACATACTTTTGCCAAATTTAAACAAACTTCATTTGGGTTTGAAAACAAACTAATCTGTAATAAAGATTTAATTTGACTTTGCCCGTGAGAGTGTCGAATCGCCAGGTTTGCAATTGTATTGAATGTCTCAGCTTTAAGCCCGAAGCAAGTGCATGATGTGAGTACGCCCCTTCTTTTTGTTGTTGTTACAGTACCCGCCCTTCACTTAGAATATCATTGGTATATGTACTCACAATTCCAGGGTAAGCTGGCGATCTAATGATGTGTAAATGCTTTGCTCTTGTTTAACAGAGGGTTGAAATTCTCGGACTAATTTAAGAAAAATGTATTTTTGATTGCATGATTTCTGATGTTTTTGTTGTTCTTCTTGTTATTGCTGCTGCACTCCCTTTTGCTGTAATTTGTAAAGCCAGGCCTCAACTGCGTTCATTTAATGGCTGGCCAGCAAAATGAATACTTTCACATTCGAGTAAACAAAACAAAATAAAGAAATTTGGCTGAGTAAGTAATAACTTAGTAAAAACGTCTTCTTGGGCCTAAACAAATATTGTGGCATGTAGTTGGCGACTTAAATAAATTAGCTTTGATTATGGCCAAGGCCGATTGGTTGCCTCTGCCTTTGCCCATGCCTCTTGGCGTGCTTCCACATCGCCTCGAGCGAACAACATTATCCTGAAGATTGAAATACTTATATAGAGCAAATGCTTAATTATATTGTTGGCCGTCGATGACGCAAAAGGCAAAAAGCCAAAAAAGTAAGCACGCAATAAGCATATAAATTTCTCATATACCCTGTAGTCATTAAAAATGGAAAACAAAAGAGTCTAATAAATTCAAATGTACTTTACTGGACAATGGCATCATACACATGACCAGAAAGTTTCCAGCTGGACGAGCTTGTTCCATCTAACCAGGAACAAGTTTGAGTTTTTGATAAACGTTTCTATATCATAGGATATACGTTTAGATACTCTCACGTGAGGTACTTTCCAGTGAGGATTTAAGGGTTCGATAACTCCAATCAGTTCTTTAATAATCGATATTTATCGAACTTATGTGGAGGGTTCCTTAAGTATGCGTAGTTCACAAAATGTTGATTGTTTCTTCGTTTGTAAACATTTACAATTAATTTCTATAAAGCTGACTAATCCTCTTTTACAGATAAATTTATATATGTATATATACCCTATATATCTGCTCCATTGTTAATAGACCTATACTTAGTTGCCTTTAAATCTACCATTAATAATGCTGTATGCAAAGATATTATATTTTTTTTGTTTTATGCGTTTCATTAACTTTTTCTTATCTTTTCTTTGTCAAATTATCTGGGTTTTGTTTTGTGTCGTAATTTTTATTATATATTTATTTTTTGTTTCTTTTTGTTTTTTCTTTTGGCAATTTTTTTTGCATTTTGTTTCAGTTTCCGTTTTTGTTTATCTTTGCAGTTGCCGCCCGTCCTCTTGACACTTTGATTTGTTGTTTGACTTTGCTTTATGTTTCAATTTTCCACTTTCATTTTCCTAATCTTTTCCATTTCCCGTCTATTTCTGTCCCTTACCATTTTTCATCTGTCCGTTCGGGGCCTGCAAGCGTGCTATAAAACCAAAATAGCCCACTCAAAAACCCGTACACCTTACACACACTCACACACACACACATACACAGACACACATAAAGCTCTGAGTGCTCGCATCTTGAAAAAAGGCACAGCCCAAAATTCAACGCCAAAGTGGACAGTGTCCGTATCCCTGGTTCCTCCTGCCCCACCCGAGGCCAGACGAGAAATCTCGGAGCTGGCCAAACAGAGAATATTTAGTATTTGGGCTTGACTTTCAGTTTGCTGAGCGAATGGTTGTGCAAGTTCTTGGTTTTTGTTTTCACGGCTTGTTTATTTTTGCTAACACTTATCAAAATATTGACGATACACATATTGTTTTGCGTTGACTTCATGGGGCATAAAGATATCGGGGTCCACGCCAAAAACAAAGCGAAAGCAAAAGATAAACAAAATCACGTGGCCATATACTCTTGAATTTTTCAGCACATGTGCGTGTGTGTGTATGTGTTTCCCTTTTTTTTTAGGGATATGTCGTAACTTTCACTTTGTTGCCAGAGTTTTCCATGCTTTTCCCTATCCCCATCCGTATCGGCTACCCTATCCGCACTTTATTTGCCCCATTGCTGCTTAAGTTACTTTCTGTCCACGCTTGAATTTCTTTGCCCCATTCGAACTTGGCTTGTTCTCTGTCTTTTGCTTTTTTGCCCTCTGCTGAGCTAAGCAGCTCATTTTCAATCGAGCATGTGCATGTGTTGGCTTTGCGATTGTGATTCTGATTTTTCTATCTATTTGGCTTCAGCTGGCTTTTGCACGCCGCCCTCACTGTTTGGCATTTGCTTTGTTTTTCGTCTGTTATTTTCATAAATAAATTTGCATGCGAAATGACATTGTTTATGGCATTCCTATATATGAAGAACGCATGCTTTCATATTTCTCAGACTCGACCCGGCGTCTTCGTCTTTTTGTCACACGTTGTTGACAGCTTTGTTAAAATATGTTTACATGCTCAAATTAGTCTCAGGCTCAGTTGCAATCTCTTTGACATCCGGTTTCTATCGTCTGTTTGTCTGCGTCTCTGTGTCTGTGTGTCTGTGTGTCAAAAGTTGACATCCGAAATGAATTCGTAATTGAGTTTTGTCCGCCGTTCTGTGTTCCTTCATTCTAATTCTCGCCCGATTCGAATTTAATATTATCAGCCTAATTCGCATTTATGTTACATATGTACTCGCATATGTATAACATGCTATAATTATTTTTTCTTGAATATATGCATATCAAGCCTTCTGTGGGCCCCCCCACCTCAGCCTGATAGCATGGCGCCATGGAGGCGACTTATTTGTCCCAGAATTACTTATGCTCTGATGTGCTCTGCTCTGTTCTGCTCTGCTCCGGCCTGCTGTGCTGTAATTATTTCAACATTCTCATCACATTTGGGTAGAAAAGAGGCCATAATTATTGAAAATAAGCCAAGCGCAGCAGATTTGTTGCCTGGCTCTGGCGCAGCTCCCCCTCAGCGCCAATAAAATCATTTGCTGATTAGCGACTTCTGCGTAACACATGCCATGGAGTTTCCTTATCAGAGCAAACACAACAAATTTATAAAAGTGGATAAATATGTATTCTAGTGGCTAAACGTGGGTTGCTCATACGCCATGTGAGCCGACGGAATCGAAAACTCTGTCACATCTTTGCCGTTGTATTCGTTCTTTATTTATTTCTGTTGTCGTTGCTTTTGCTAAGAATTTTGATAAGAACTCCGCCAGAACATTTTTTGCCAGATTTAATGTGACTCTTCACGAGCTGCTAATGTTCTTAAAGGGATTAAAGTCAAGTATTTACGAGAAATATCTAAATCAAATGACTGTAATCAATAATCTCAGAATATGCATAAGAATAAGTTTGTATATTTGAATGAAAAGCCTATTTTGTTCCATACCCATAAGAATCTTGGGCATCGAGACGCTCTGTGCTTAAAAACATATTCAAATACATAACTCTAAGCATTCTGTGAGGGGATCTATGAGAATTCAATTAAACATACATGCACTAAGAAAATGGCCGCAGTATATATACACAAACATTGTTGAGAGAAGATGGTTGGCGGTATCCACAAGTTGGACGCACTTTACTTGTTTTTTTGTTGTTTACTTACGTTAAATGTAAAACCACATTTCGACTTCAACATTCCGCCTATTGACGAGCACTGAAATCCAACCAAATGCCGCCGTTAAGGGAAGAAATAAAGCCAAGTGGATCATACATGTTATCCTTGCGAGTCTTTGGATTGACTTTTACATCAAAGTTGGTTATAATTTCGACGAGAGCTGCTTTAATCTGGGCCAGAGCCAAGCGAATACCTGCAGGACATCAGGATGTGTGAGTAGAACTAGGATTAGGTCAACTGTTATTTAATGTACCTATGCAGATGCGAGGACCATCGCCGAATGCCATGAAGATTCCGCGCTCGCGATACATTTTGATCGCATTGGGCTCTAGAAAGCGATCGGGTTGATACTCCTGGGCATTGGGAAAGTAATCATTGTCTAGCATGAAGCAGAGATGAGGTACAAGGACTGTGGTGCCCTTCTCTATAATGAAATTGGGTCCGTTTCGATTGGACAGCTCGATGGGTCGAGTGCACAGTTTGTTGGATATCGGAATTGGTGGGAAGAGTCGAAGGCACTCTGTAAGGGTAAAACTGAGTTGTTGTTAATATTCAGGTGATCCAATATTTACCATGCACACAGGCATCCAGGTAGGGTAGCTCGACAAGCCTTTCGAATGCAACAAAGCCCTCATTGTTCAGATGTGCCTGCAGCTCCTCGCGCAGCCGCTGCTGTGCCTCGGCATTCCGTGCCAGCAGCAGCAGAGTATGGGCCAGAACAGAGGCCGTTGTCTCAAAGCCGTCCAACAGAAAGGTCATCGACTGGGCAGTTATCTGTCGCGTGTTAAGGCTCCGCTTTTTGGCCAGCTGCAGAATGTAGTCCAGAAAGTCGACGCGATCGGATTGTAGGCCAGCTGCCCGTTGGGCATGGCGCGTGTCAATCGCTGCCTGCATGAAGTCCACGAAGAATGCCTCGACGTGCTTGGGCACAATACGTAGCTTTTTGATTTTACTCAACGAGGGTATCAATGATATTGCGACAAAGTTGAGCACAAGGCTCCAGGACTGTTGGAACATTGCCTTTATTTTGTCCATCACTGGCGTGGGATTGTCGGTAAAGCTCTGAGCGCTAAGGCCGAGCACGCAATCCGTGACCATTTCTGTGGTAAAGCACAGGCTGATCTGTAAGATATTGGGTTAGAGCAATTTCTGATATTCTCACAATCTGCCACCCACATCCTTGCCATTCAAGCCATCAGGTGCAATGCGAATTTGTTTGCGAATAAATTCGTTCATCTTCTTGCATACTTGGTTGGTTACGGGGTAAACCGATTTAATCTGGGAGTATATATAATTTAATAAGCTGATATTGATGCAGTTCTCACAAGGCTTACGCGACTGATGGTTAGTCCTGGAGTTATATCGGCGCGGCGCTCTTTCCACTTGTCCCCGGTCAGTGTGAAGATATTGCTACCAACTATAAAGTCGGACTTCTCATCCACCAGGTTGGCCAGTTCGTTGTCCTGGAAATGTTTAAAGTCCGAAACGAAGACACGATGTGCCAGCTCCGGGCTTACAACCAGCAACTGAGGTGAGCGTGACGAATAAATGCCAACTGCATCATATTGTTGCTTGTATTTGCTGTAAAAAGAAAGGACAATGTTAAAGAAGAATATTAATTAAATGTTCTATGAGAAATAGAATCGCAACAATTACCAATAAATCTCATTAAGATCTTGTATAGCATGTTGCTTCATTTTGATCATGTTAGGATAGTTGCCGGTAAGTATTGCCGGGCTCGGGCCAGGCACTTTCCGCTTGCGCCAATAGCCATAGTTCCAGATGAGGAACACATAGCCCAGAGACGCCGCCAGCATCAAGAGAGTAATTGTTACCAAAACCATTATACCAGCTGTTGTATCAAGTTTCCAGCAGCAATTACGTTTGCCAAATGTGGTTCGAGCGTTTACTATTTTGCGTATTTATAGGTAGTATCTGTATCTGGTTCTAGCTACTTTGTCGGTCAGTTTTCCCGATAAGGCTAATCAATAAATGCTTTTAGCTGCTGCAACTGCCAGCTAAACAGTTGAAATAAATTGGCTGATAACGTTAATGTTTATAGCAATTACTTTTCATTTCGAATTCTAACGCGTCAGTGAATGTTAAAATGAAAGTTGCGCTGAAATTGTGTAATTCTCCACATCTTTAGATCGAAACGTCGATTGTCAGCATGGGCATCTCCTGGTCGGGCACTCCCCAGTGAAGCACTCTTACTAATTATATAGCAATATTATTTAACTAGTACTTCACACGAGCATTTCACTTTGCATTCTAGCTGCGATACAAGTAGACGTAATTGATGACAACAATTATGTGGATAATGGACATATGCATATCTCAAGGTTCTTTAAATTTAAGAATTAATATTTAAGAATCCATACCATGTACGTCAATCGACCAAATTATAATTTTGTAAGCTATAAATTAAACAAAGAATTCTATAATAAACGTCTTTTTAATTTGCGTATATATGTACATATCTGCGTATCATACCCGACGTTTGGGGTCTGCCCCATCTGAGTCTTTGCTTTATCATGATTGTATGTAGAAATTGTCTTAATCGTAAATAACACACGATATGGGCCAAAACAGTTAAAGCGGTTTTGGGAAATTCTTAGAACTGGCCTATATCAAAACTCGATTTATTTTCATGCATTTGTATGCAAGTTTATATAGTATAATTATTAAAAAGCCAAAAGACAGCTGAGCAACATCTTTACTAGAGAGTAACTTTATATGCCCGCCTAGCCCTTGTTCACAGGTAATATTTGTCAGTTAAATTATTGAATTATTATTATTAAATCGGACCATTATATCATTTAGCTGCGATGGATATTATATTTTGCAAGTGTATTAAATATTGACTTCGATCTTTTTAGATGAAGGTAACTTATGTGTAAATCAAATTGAATAAATCACTTTATCGAGTAACGATTATCTCTCGTGCTTGAGCCAACGCGTGATAGATCTCTGATTTATTACTCTGAGGGCAGAGCCTCCGACAGCTTAGTTCCATGTGGCTCTCTATTGTAGGTCGCTTCTCTTAGAATTTAAAAATGAGCAGCAAAACATTATAAATAGCCATTTTATCATTTTTCAATGAGCTCAGGATTTTATGAGAGCAGCCGCTCTCTGCGGCGCTATTAGCGCGAAAAGTCTTGCGACACTTTTTGCCGCTCTGAGGACTCAACGTGTTGTTTGCTCAGTGATAGAAGTTAGTCCCATTGTCTACGCGATGCCATCAACATCTTGATTGTTAGTCACCAGCCCGCAAATGTGGCCAACAGGAGAGAGCCCAAACGGCAGACTGAGCAGCCCAAGCGGCTTAACATAAAGTAATCTAATGGCAGTTAGTCGCTCGGTAAGCACTCCCAAGCACTTACGCAGCCTGGAACGGACGATGCTGCCACCTTGTAGCAGGAGCAGGAGCAAGAGCAAAAGCAGGAGCAGGAGCTATCGCTATTCCCAGGACGCAAATTATGCATTAAGCTGTAGAAAAATGCCGCATAATGTTATCAGGCGGGCGAGCCAAGGCAAGCCGAAAAGAGCCCAAAAAAGGAGCTGGCAAATGCTGCCCGTCCGATACAAGCAGAGCAGAGTCTGAGCTGAAGGTAAATGGTGACCAAGGTGATTTCCTGTGTCTTAGCCTGTGTCTCGGCCAGATGACTCAACATAAACAGTTGGCAAAGCGAAAGCCGCAATCAAAATGTGTAAATTAGCACTTGATGCAACTGGGTCTGCCATTTCCATACCAATGCCCATCAGGCATCCTCTGCCTGGCACGATGCTGAGCTCGGCCTGGCGCTGGCTGACAGACGCTCGTGGTTTCGCTTGTCAGCGTCGACCTGTCGACTGTCAGGCTTCGCCATGTCGTTGGTCGACCTGTATTCATATATTTCATGGCAAATTGCAATTTCCACTTTAATCTCCGCTGTGCTGTGCTGGCTCAGACTAAAACCAGGCAACACCCATACGCCCACTCAGCTCTTGTCAACGGCCGCAGCTTATAATTTCGTTTATAATTACATTGACAGCAAAAGCAAAACTCAAGTTGTAGCTGCAGCGGTTACGGCTGCAGCAGCATTTGCTGAAATTCCAGCAAAAAGTGCCCACCTGCAGGCGACGCTTTCCTAATTAGCCCAAAGTACAGCGCCAGCAAACCATTTCAATGTGCATGTGTGTCTGTGTGTCTGTGGGTCTGTGGGTCTGTGGGTCTGTGGGTCTGTTTACCTGTGTGTGTCTCTGCATGCCCCGTCATGGGGCACGTGGTAATTCGTTATTTCTGCCCATCAGCCCTCTGGCTAATTTGAGGCACCTGCCAAATCCACCAGGTATAAGTCAACTGTCAACTGGCGCACATTGCTTTGTATATTGAATATGAAACTATTTTCGAAAGCAGGTATGAGAGAGCATTAACAATGAAGTCAATTATATTTCAGTATTGAGAGAATCTAACATATAACCCTTCCGTGCTATGTTTTAATGAAAGTTCTTATATCATTTCTTATCATATTAACAAATAACAAGTAAAGCTTGGTTGCAATTTGCAGAGATGAAGAAGTAAAGAGAGAGGGAGAGAGTCGGCATCCAATTGATGTTTATAATGTTAATATTAAGGTTAATATTAGGCTCACTCATAGGTTGTTGTTGAAAGGTTTAAGCCTAACTTAGTAAAGGCAATGGCAACCATGCTTATTAACTAAGGCCTAGTGACATCTATGCACAAAGCTCGACGTCCCGAGTCAATTTGGCCCAACATCGAGGTAGTTGTATTAACACGACAGCAGCTAACACTTGCTTAAGCTGAGAAGTTGGACCTAAGCATAGAAGATGGACAACATTGTCTGGCTAAGACCAGGATTAAATAACCTCAATAACGTAAGTTGTATTGAGGAGCCCAGTGGACCAATTTAATTACTGAAAGCTCGCCCGTCTAAGCCAAGGTAAATTCTACTAGGCTAAATCCCGCCCGTTTGTATTCACATTTAATGTTGATGTAGACCAATGTGCAGTGGACACAGGAGTTGCGATTACAATTTTCAATTTGGATTGTGAAAAAGCTAAAATATACTTTTCAAAATGTTTGGTTCACTTATTAATAATGAAATTGCTTTCAAAGTAGTAACTTTGGTTTTTGCGAGTTGAAAGGTAATCAAACATTTGATGATGCCCCATTTTTTTCTAGAACAAATTTCAGTCATGTCAGGTATCTTTACAAAAATGTAAGCAAAAGTCACTTCTATGCTAAACGAGTGTGTCAACTGTATTTACCTAAAGTTCATGTCTAGTTTCTTGCCAAAAATGTGTACAATTTTAGTTTGAAATATTCCTTGGATTTGCCAGCCTTGAATAGCCCTCGAGCAGGAAAGTACTTAATAAGCTGTTCAATAGCTCTCTTGGCTCTCGTTGGATTCTGTCGAATCCTTTGTGATATGCGTTCAATTGACATTTGAATGTGCTGCTGAAAATACACGAGCTAAATAGAAGTACGCCCCATCTGCTTTTATTGTGGGTGATATCAGCAGTTGCCTCTCTCTGCCGAAATGTCACCTCATATCATATCAATGGCTGAGGCCATTTACCGGCATTTCTGCATTTGGCAAACCTTTTTCTAATAACGCATGCCCATTTATCTGTGTGGGGGGGCAAAAAAGTAATAAGCAAATAGTTGGCATAATTTGGCTAAGGACCAGCTCGAGAGCTTGAAGCAGCAGCAGCCGCCGTCAGGATCCGGTGACAAACGTTGAGCGAATTTCATCTTCCTTGCCAGGGGATACTGACCACTGACGTAATCAAATCGGCAATCACTAAAAGATATGTGTGCGCATCAATGTGCCCGAAGGGTTGGTCCAGTGCTCAAATATTTGCCCTTCCCACTCGCCGAAATGGCAAAAAAAAAGGACGAGGCTGGCGTGTGGCCTGTGCCTTGCCTGCAGCATATTTGGCCTTTCCCGGACAGTGCGTAAATTGCCATTTTCAAACACATTTCAATACATTTTTGGGTTATTTAAGGAAAGTTACTTCTGCACTGTGTCAGAAATTATTGCCTGGTGCGAAGTCGAGAGAGCTTCCCGAATTTTATTGCTTTTGCAGTTTGTCAGCTGCCCTGGTGACTGGCAACTTTTCGCCTTTCGCCTATCGTCCATCGTCCATCTACTGTCGACTGTCGAGTATCGACTATCGACTGTTGCATATTGCGTATACGCCGCGTGTAACGCGAGTGTAAGGGAAAAACTTCAATTTTTGTCGCAGCTCTTCTGTTATTGCGCTGTCATTTTATTGTCAGTCGCTGACGCTGACAGACACACAGACCGACAGTTGGGTCGACAGACTGACAGGCAGTCGGCCAATGGCAGCCTTTGATCTTGCCTCGTTCCGAAAAGTATGCAAAGCATTTTACAGCTTCCAGTATTGTGTTCTGTGTAAATTGCGCACATAAGCGAAGCGCACGTGCATGAAATGGCATCCCATCCCTCTTACACCCGCCGTGGCCCCCTTGCCCACGTCCGCATTCCAACAGAGATGCCAGTCCGAAGGCGTTGCATACTTCTTGGCCACCTAATGGCACACGGCAGCCAAGTGACGATGAAATTTTCAAAAAAATGTTAATGTTTTGACTTTCTTACTGAACAAAAATGTATTACTTTCCCTTACAGTATTATAAAATGTAAACGTGTTGGAGGTATGAAGATTTTCACTCATTGGGTGAAGGAAAATCACTGTTTTAATTATTATTATATGTAAATATTATATTATTATATGTATTGTATGTATATAGAGTTAAACATATAACGATATTAATATTAATATGCTGGTGAGTATTACCCGGATTTGCGGGGTCATC